GATAGATTAGATAGAGATTCACATTCTGATTATTCAGACTTGACCACCATGGATCACCTTGAACACGAGTTTTATGTCTTGTTCGTTCACTGTTTAGCTTCTTGAAGAGAACGACTAGTTTTTTTCACTAACACGTAGGTGACATACAGAAGAACGGGCTCTTGTATTTATTCGGGTCTCCGTAGATCCCAGCACCAATACTTGTCTGATTGACGGTTGATTTCCCAGCACCCTCCGCTCTCTTTCCTTTCACGCCTGGCCGTGTGGGCCGGACCAGGGTGGCCGCCCGTCCTCGGGGACGCAGGAGACCAGCCGTGGGGAGGACCCTCCCTTCCCGCCCTCACTTGCTGGGTTTCTGGCCGCCGGGGGCTGCAGGCCCGGCCGGCACACTGACCAGGCCTGTTCCGGCCCACGCTGGCCCGGGAGGGAGGCCTGCTTGGGCGGAGACCTGCGAAGGGAAATACAGGGAATCAGGAAGACATTTGTGTCCAAAGGAGCAGCGTGACTGAAATGGATCTTTCCAGCGACGGTTCGTGGGTGCGAGAACCCAGGTCCTAGGGTTTCCGGACTGCTGGTGAGACCTGGACAGGAGCTGAAGGGGGTGCGGCTCGGAGGTGGGGGTGCTGTGGGGAAGGACACGGGCAGGTATCACCCAGCTGAACCCTGCTTTCCTCACCCGGAGGGAGTTTAGATCCCAGGGGGAGAAAGCGCCCAGTGTCCCTGCTCTGGAGACTTGCAGAGAGGGGCCCGGATGGCCCCGCTCCAGGCGGTGTTGACAGACAGGCCGCCAGCAAAGTCCCCAGGGCGCGTCTGTTATCTACAGGCAGGGAGAAGTCTGGCCATAAATCCAGCAGGTATTCCCGACAATTGACAGGCGAGTTCCAAGTTTCGCTGGCCGTTCCTCCGACCCAGCATTGTTCCCCAAGCCGGTTTAATCATTGTTAACACCAAGTCATTTCTTCGTGGACTTTGTCGCCGTTTGCAGATAGTCATCCGGGCGCTTTTTAAAAACATCGACGGGCTAGGGCCGCAGAGCGTCCGCCCAGCCCGAGCGGGTCCTCGTTGGGATTTGATAGGCTGGTCTTGACTGGTCCGGGTGGGAGTTTCCTCTCCCTGCTCCCACCGACCTTCATCAATATCGTCGTCGTCAGAAAAAGACGCACAAAACAAATGGGGGTCCCCCTCCGGGAAGTTTTGTTTTCTTTTTGCCAGAAAGTAAATAATAAAATGAAATAGTAACTGGACTCTGTCATGATTCTGAAGAGTCTTTACATCGTGTTCTGAATACTTTGTTGCAAGATTTCTAACAGGAGCTACTGAGAGAAACAGTTTAACTCAGTGGCCCTGATACGTGAAATCCCACTTCCCAGAAGCTTCTGTGGCCCCTGGGCGTCTTCCTAAGAGAAAAGCACCCCGACTTCCAGTGCCCCTGGGGTGATAATACAGAGCTTACGCTCTGGCCTGGTGCCTGGAGGCAGGGACTGTGTCTTAGTCGCCAATTTTTTGCCAAGTTTCACGCCCCAGACCTGGCCCAGGGGCTCAGTGACCAGAATTAAGAAATGGGGCCCGGCCGGGTGTGGCTCAGCGGTTGAGCGTCGGCCTAGGATCCAGGCGATCGGGGTTCGATTCCCGGTCAGGGCACAGGCCCGGGTTGTGGGCTCGATCAATGACTCTCTCATCATTGATGTTTCTCTCTCTCCCTCCCTCTCCTTTCCTCTCTCTGAAATCAATAAAGATATATTAAAAAAAGAAAAAGAAAATGGGTTCATGTCCCCTTTCAACCACGTCAGGGGAACCTTTTCCTAAAAACGTCTTTCTTAAAGCGTAGCTGCCCTGAATCTCGAGGCCCACTCTCAACGCCCCTGCAAGAGTGAGCCCCAGATCCGCGGCCGGGCGGCGAAAACGGGAAGGGAGGGGGCAGCCGAGAGGTTTCGATAAGTTCAGCGTGGGCTTGAGAAACACCTACACCCTCCCCCTCCGACTGTTTGCCCAGCCCCCCGTTCTGACGGGAGAGCCCACGTCTCTAATGATTAACCTCTGGGCTGTGGGAGTCAGCTGCGCGCACAATGCGAGGCTTGTGTTCCTGTCCACGCTCGTCTATAACATCAGTATAAACAGCTCCCCATGAGTAACGAGCTTCTCGAGATAAGCCTTCCTTTTATTGCAGCTGATAACGCGGGACTGCAGGAGCGAGAATTGCTGCGTTCAGGGGGGAGGTCTGGGTCGACGGAGCAGTTCCACGCCCCCCCCCCCAGATGCCACCCAGCATCCTTTATCGACGGCATTCACACCTGGAAAATGGACTCCAAAGTCCCCACCTGGAGAAAAAATATCTTCAAAATCACCAATATTTCTTATCTCCAGATAAGACACAAGGCGGGTGTCAAGTTTATACCCTGTCCTTTCCTTCGGAGCCGCGTAAAAACTCACCTGGGGCCCCACAGGGCCGCACACTCGCCAGGTTCCCGTAACGTGAACTGCGACGCAATCAGCTGTGGAAAATAGTGAAGCTGAATGTCGGGTCAGAAAAACCTCCTCGGGGCCGCGTTCAGGCGGGCAATCCGTGGCTCCGGAGGGGTGTTAAAACTGCAGTGGGGCCACGTGCACAGGCCTGCCAGGCCCCAGGCATCCTTCACCCACAAACACGGAGCAGCGACCTGCTCCCCCGGGGGCCCGGGGGACCCATGGGTGGAAGGGAACACAGCTCCACCGTTCGTCCCATCGCTACTCAGGTATTTATAAAACGCACCTCTCATGCCAGGCTCTGCCCACGCTACGGCTCCGTCCGGCCCCAGCCCTGAGGGACCAGGGACAGGTGACCGAGCAGCTACGGGATGTATGCGGACAGGGGGTCATCACAGGGGCCCTCGGGGGGAGGCCGGGGAAGAAATGATGACATGGGGCCCACCGAGTACAGAACAAACACTACGGGCCAACTTCGGGAAGTCGGCGTGTTCGCCTGTTCCTGCCACCTCCCGAGAAGCGGAGACGCCGGAAAGAGGCAGGTCTTAGAGGCCCGTCCATCCCCTTACGCCCTGGGCCCAGGCAGAGGTGGGGCGGGAATGTCAGCCTCTAACAGGGAACTCGAAGACGCAGGAAAACAGAACCTCGCGCGTCCCGGACGGTCGGCTCTCCCCTCTCCCTCCCTCCCTCCGTCTCCACACACACAGTCAGGAATAAAAACCGAAAACCACGCGCCCCAGTCTTGCTCTGAACAGGACACAAAACCATATCCTTATCTGCAAGTAATTCTCAACATCCCCGAAGAAAAGGCGGCCGGGAAAAGCCAGTTCCTACCTGACCATCCACGGTATTGGCGTCGGGACACACGCAGGGCAGGGGACCCTCAGCGAACACAAAAGAGGAAGGGCCGGGCCCTGAGGGCCCCAGGAGACGGGCTCCTTTCGCCCTCGCTCGTCTCTCCTCCTCGTGTGTGTGGCCCACGGGGACTCTCAGCTCTTTCATCTTCTGCCTGCAAGACAGGAGCCGGACACGTCCTTGCTGTGCAGAGAGGTTCATCCTACGCCAGCACCCCC